CCCTGGGAGACGTATTCCATCTGCATTGGTTCCGCACCCTTTATTATTCCTTCCTACCCTTCCTGCTCCTCCACCACGTGGTATTGAAACTGAAAACAGGCAACACAAAGTGTATTTTAATAGCCCCCTTATGGCTAAGGAGGACATGGTTCCCAACCCTATGGAGCCTAGCCAAAGGCAGGAAAATACTTCAACCTACAACAAAAATGATTTGAACCCATGGCCTCATGTGATCTTTCTTCAGTTTTTTATAATATGACATTTTTGGTTGTGATAAAATCAGCACGCAGAGTGGGTGAGATCAGAGCGCTCAAATTCAACCCACTCAAATTCACAAGGATAAAGTGGTTTTGAGACCCAGTCTTGAATTCACCCCAGAAGTGGTTTCCCAATTTCACTTGTCTCAAGGCATAATTTTACCAGTGTTTTCCCCTAAACCTCAATCCCCAAAAGAACAAGCAATGCACATGTTAGATTTCAGGAGAGCATTGTTATTTTATTTAGATCGTGCCTCAACATTCATGAAAGATAACAACCTCATTGTTTGCTTTCAAGAACCGAACAAAGGGAAAACAGTATTGTCACAAACCTTGTCTAGATGGGTGATGACAGCAATTAAGATGTCTTACACAAGAGCAGATTTGGAATGCCCGTTTCCCCTAAAAGTGCATTCAACAAGGGCTCGAGCTTCTTCAGCAGTCTTTCAATGCAATCTTGACATCAGGGAGATATGCAGAGCTGCGACTTGATCCTCTCCACCTACGTTCATCAAACAGTACTCAATTGATGTGAACTCCAGGAGAGAAGCAGCTGTTGGAAAAGGAGTGTTACAATCACTGTTATGTTAATCGGCCCACACCCACCTCCATGGTAAGTGAGCTTCCTAATCTCCCATGTGGGACTGCACAAAAGGCACAAAGATGAAAACATAGTTGCATATACCTGTAACTGATGTTCATTGAGTGTCTTCTGTGCAGGCACACATCCCTCCCTCCTTCCCCACTGTGGGCCTTACACCTTCTTCATAATCTCCATGGCGGTGGAAAGAGAACTGAGGGAAGAGTGCTCCCTCCACCCCTCGTCACGTGATCATTTGGGTGGGAACTTTTAGATCTTCGACGTGGTCTCTGTGCTTCACACCCATCTGCTGTGCCAAAGGGAGGGGGAGCACTCAACTGTAAAATTCTAGAAGCTTGTAGAAACTCCTCCTCCACAGCAGGCCTGCTCTGAAGCAGTCCCATGTGTGCTTGTACAGAAGACTCTTGATGAACATTAGTAACAGCTAAGTGCAACCATGTTTTATGTACTCCACATTACTAACTAAAGTTATGAGGTGGTGATGATTCTGACCTAGTTTAGTTTCTAAGTTCTAAACACTATTTGTCATTGTGCTGAAATGATTAGAAACTGCTCCCAAGTAAACAGGCATAGGCTCAAGACGCAAGTTGTGAAGCAGGTGATACTGTAGTGATAGTAAAGGTACATATACAGAAACATATTTTGAATATTGTTTATCCTGTTGTGAGGCTAGACACATCAAATGAAGCAGTCAGGCCTCTTGTGAAACATTAGATAGATGTGAAAGGCGCAGCTTGTATTGATCTTTCCCACAACAGTGTTCAGTAACTGAAATTGCTGCATATTTTGATTAGTATAACTTCATTATTAAAAAGAGGCATTACATGAGGTATGCTGTTGCAATATTCTTCTGACTCTATTTGGCTTGAGAATTGCCTTTTCTGCTTGATGGGGGCATAAGGCTCTTTGGGCACTCGTGGTGTGTTTGAACATCTGTGCATGTGAATCAAGCAGCAGGCTTTTCTTTTTTCAACCTACTTAATGCCAAACAACAGCTTGAATACCTTGCTTCAAAACAACAGAATGTCTAGTCTTTCTTAAAAAATAAAGCTGCCAAGGGGAAAAAAAAGGGCAGGCTCTGTACAGCCCCCCCCCCCCAGTGATCCCATTTTGTTCATGAAGGTGCCCTGACTGCCAGGAACAGACTTGGGAGGCTTGGTGAACTTTCAGCAGGATGGATAGGCAGGAAAGTCTTGTTTCCTGAGTTATGGTTCATTTAATATAACCTAGTATTTCTGTGGAACAGCAAGAACCATTTGCCCCTATTGCTGCCTTCACATTTGCACTGATGTTAGAGTTTGTAGCTTGATAATTGCACAAATGTAATTGGCGAGGAGCCTAGCTGGGAGATGGGGAGGTGGGGTGGAGAAGCCCCATAGTACAGTATCCTTAGTTGTTGCAGTCTCCAATGCAAGTTAAATGGTTTGGTGAAACTGATTAGACTCTCTTACATTCAGATTCTGGTTTAAATCTGTTTCATTCCTAATGCAAATTTAGCATTTACTCCCCCCCACCCCGTTTAAATGAATTGTGAAGATAATCATCCATTTTCACAAACTTTAAAATGAATGAATGACTCTATACAGTATGATGCTTCCCAGGGGTCATTTCGTAGAAAAAGAGATGCATGAGCTCATTAGCATAACTCATTAGCATAACTTATTTGCATATGCCACACCCCCTGACATCACCGGAAGTGTGTCAGAAGGCAACACCCACCACTCAGGCTCCACTGGACTGTTTTGGATTGCTAGCTATTGGGGGGGGGGACACGCGCAGATCTGCCCTCACAGAGGAGGGAGAGCTTGTACCTGAAGGCAGGTGGGGGGGGGCTCTGCAACTTACCTGGTGGCTTCTTGCTCCTTGTGGCCTTACTGAGGGCTGCTGGGAGCAGGGGGCGGGGCTTGTTGCATGTGCCCGCCCCCTGGGCTCCTTACTGCCGGAGCTCCGCTCCTGTGCGCTCCCACAGGAAATGACCCCTGATGCTTCCTAACATGTGATTGTGGGGACAGGGAAGGTATGTCATTCATGCCCCAAAGACATACCTCTTTGAAGAGCACTAGAGTCTTTCTGAGGAATAGATCTTACATTTTCTAGATTGAAGAACCTACAGAAATGATTTGACTAGAAACCATGTCAAGATGTACAATAAGCATGCACAGTGCATGAAAAACAGTTAAGTAGTATTACTACTACTTAACACAAAATGCTCTACATCTTACAACAGCTCTACAGATAAGATTAGAATTTCAGCAGCCAATTCATATGCAAAAGAACCTCCTCAGGAAAGCTACTCCATTAGCATGTCACAGCCTGGGAAACTCCTACAAGATAATGACTCAGCCCTACCCCACCTTCCTGAGTAGATATAAATTACCTGCCTACCATGTTTCTTCTCACCTTGACACAGAGAGTACTCTATCTTTCTGTGTTATACCTCTGAGGATGCCAGTCACAGCTACTGGTGAAACGTCAGGTCCTACAATGCCAAGACCAAAGCCATACAGCCTGGAAAATCTACAACAACTATGTATTACTATTATATTGATTTTTAAAAGAAAGCAAAATCATGTAATTTAAATAAATTTATTTTGTGATTGGTAAAAAAAAGTTCCCAATTTCCATCCTGCAAAAAGAAATCAAACAAGGACAAAGTAAGGGGGAAAGATGCTTATTTGGAGGATGATTAACACTTTTACCAGATCACATAAAGTGGCTGCATATTTTTATGGAAGAATAGCTAGATAGTCAAAGGTGTCTGCTGAGGTTATAAGCTGTGAGGTAGAGCAAGTAGGAGCCTGAAGAGGCAAAAGTCTCTTGCTTTCTATTGAGGGTTCTGTGCAGGTAAATCCATCAGTTTGAACTAGTGGGTATAAAACATTTGAAAATGTATTTTTTAGGACAGGAAATTGCTTTTTTTGTGGCAGGAAGTCGCATGCTACAATAACTTCACAAGGGATAAAAAAAAATTGGTTCCATATCATTTTACTGAGTATAGCTGTCACAGGTTGATGATAAACACATGGTATCATATGGATGTAAACTACTGTAATACAGTTGAATTACAAATGTCTGCTTTGGAAAAGATCTGTAACTGTCGATATCACTTCTTATGATAGCAAATCTAAAACATTCCATTGACAAAGCTGAGAGTTGCAATGTTGTTGGGATGACGTGGTAGTGATGATCCTACCCTCTGAAATTTGATTTATTATTTACTTCATTTATACCCTGCCTTTCTCCCCAGTGGGGACCCAAAGCAGTTTAGATTGCCAAAGTCAAAGTTCTAAACTAGATTTAAAAACAGGAATGTAAATGTTCAAAATACGTTTCCTTTGCTCTTAGTTCTTACCCTACAACATAGAGAAATGAAGCCTGATAAATGCTTTAATCTGAAAAAAAATTGCACCAGACATTTTCTAAGTATATGCATTTTGAGCTAGATCATGTCTAAGAATGTAGCTGAACGTAAATATTTATATTTAGGTAGTATAGGAATTTGAATCATACCACCCTTTAAAGTTCTAAATATGGACCATGTTTACGTTAGAGAATCATATATACAGAACTGTAGCTAAAACAATTTTTCTAAAGCTGCCTATAATGAATATGATCTTGCTTTTGGGTTGTGATTCTGGAAACCTAGGCTACTTTCCAATAGCAGCCAGTGATGTAAGGCATAGCCTCTAGTCCTTTCAGTTTATTTTCATGAACAGAGAAACCTCTGCTTTCACCTCGGGTGAGAGGCTTTCTCCTGATGCCTGAGGAATGTGTATTTGCATTATAATTTTGAAAACTCTTAACAAAGTTGTCCTTTTAACATGTACAGTTTAATAGAATTTAATAGTCTTCTCTTGCATTATTCTGATTATTTGCAAGAGCAGTTTTAGAGTGCTTTCACGTTTACCTTTTCAAACCATAGTAGATTACTACCAGCAGTCATTTCAACAAAAAAGTTACTTAATTTCTATACTGTCCATAATATAAGAATAGACTACTGCTGTTATGCCAAACCTGTACAGCAATAGGACCATGCCATTCAGCAGTAGTGTCCTCTTCTGTAAACTTCGAATATGAACTTGTTTTCTATTTTCCCCATTTTGTGCTTTGTAGCTGACAATTAGTTAATTTGTTATTTTCAGGCTTTGCTTTCTGTGCATGACACTGTTGCTAAAAAAAGCTATGATCCAGTATTGCCTCCCATGCCTGATGACATTGATGAAGAAGAAGACTCTGTAAAAATAATCCGGCTTGTCAAAAACAGAGAACCACTGGTAAGTTACTGGGATGTGTGAGTTACAAGGTAATAGAATTATTTCTGTGACACTCATACATGAGCTGGAGGCATAGCATAGATATGTGCATAACTTTACTACTTTTTGTCTTCACATTTGAAACACATTGGATAACAATTTTAGTGTGTTCGAGATGTAATTCATCTGCAGATCAGTTGTGGTCTACAGGACTGCGTCTTCTGATACCTTTGTATGTAGCAGTTCTGCTTGACAGATCAAGGCCTTTTGAAAGGTACCATCTTGCTGGAAGGTAAAGACAGCTGCTTATGTAACAGTCCGCACTTTGTAGAAGGGTGTCCCTGAATGTGCCAGGAAGGTCTCCATTTTGTTAGAGGTTTGGAGACTTTACAAGGTAGAACTGTTCTGTTGGGCTTTGTCCTTAATAAATAGGTACTTATCTAGGTTTCTCTGAAGTGGTCTTTGTTGCTTTAAGGCAAGGTATATTATATTATTATTTGTAATTAACATTGTAATTTACCTTGAGTACCTTGTTGGGAGAAAGGAATGTTTAAAATGTTGATGATGATAAATGGTGATCATTTCCTTTCCTTTATTATTAAGCTTGTATGACCAAAGGTCTTGAGCATGAAACCAATACATCATAACAGGGCAAAGAAACAAAACCACTATTACAAAACACAACAGAACAGGCAAAAGGTAAAATACGGAACAATAAAACTTCTCATGTCTTACAAAAGTCTAAAACACATTGGATTAATTATAACAGTGGACCTATACAATTTCTCATCAGGTCAGCAGGATAATACTCATTTTAGCAGCATTTCAAGGAGATCACTGTTGTCAAATATTTTGCAATAGATCAAGTTACTGCTGGATCAAATTCTGCTAGCAATATACCATCCAGGACTCAAGAGGGAACTGTTATCTGGACAGAATTGGGGTAATCCAAAGAGCCTTGGGGACAGTCAAAATAACAAAAGGTGGTCTGCAGTCTCTATTGCATCAGATACACAGCCACAGAAGCAGTCTGAAAATGGGATTTTAGCAAATTGTTCTCTCAGTTCTGTTGTTGGCAAAACGTTCAATCTGGCAAACATAAAAGCAAGAAGTTTCAAACATGAGGGAAGGGTCCCTAGTGCCAAAGTGGAGCATACACTTCTTGCTGGATTAGTGTCCTGGCACAGTCAAAGTCAATCACCCTCATCCTGATCAATTTTGATGCTTCCTGGTAATCCGTATTCCTGAGCATTATGAAGGAAAGGCCAAGAGACACACCTCTCCCAAGCACTTCTGAAATGGTCTTCCTTCAAAAGATGCAAAAGCCCCCTTTGGGCATTAGGTACTGAAAAAAAGACCTTCGGCCTCAGATTAAAGGCAGCACTCCAAGCTCTGGACTCGAATGAGCACTATGCAAACTCTTAAGTGCAGTTCCTGCAACACAGCTAGGCATGCCTGCCATCCAGCACAGGAACTGTGTATAATCCAGAGACTCAGAAACTCCATTTATCCAAATGCCTGCCCCAAACAAGATCTGAGAAATTATTTTAGCATTAAAAGCCTTAATGGCTGTAGGTACATACTTGATCTCCTTTTAAATTAAAAAACCTCAAACTTTTAAAAGAGTGTTTGTATTGGTCCTAACAATTTCAGTAGCTGGGTGAACATGGACTTTCCAGGTGAAACTATGGCTGAACATAACTCCCAGATACTTAAAATGAGCCACCTGCTCTGTGCCCCCTCCCCCAACAGTCCAAGTCTTCTGTCTAGAACAAGGCCTTTGTGGAGGGGGGGGGATCATTATTTACCATAATTTACAGATAGCCTCTCCTGAATACAATAATCAATAAACGCATTTAATGCCTTACAAAGACCAACTTCTGATCTAGATCGTAGCACCATGCCATCTGCATAAAGCAAAATGGGGGTTTCATGGACAGCCAATATAGTGCTAATTTTTGAAAGTAAGGAATCATGTCATTTACATAAAGATTAAAAAGTAGAGGGGTTAGAAGACAGCTTTGTTTAGTGCCTTGTGAAAGGAGACTAGGACCAGTCAGCTTCCCCTCTGGTCCACAGCTAATTTGTGCCATTGGATTCTCATACAATTTAAAAATTAGCCAGAGAAGCCTTTTATCTATTGATGTTTTAGCCAGTTTAGCCAAAGACATGCTGTTAATTACCTGTGCCATTATATATCCAGCATAATTTGCTTTGGAATCCTTTGAGTATCTAGGATAAGGTAAATAATAATATCCAGTCTCTGGAGGGCAGTCTTTATATTTACTATATAAGCTGTTATTATCTTGTCCCATTCTGGCATCAAAATCCCCTCCTATAATAATATATGTCCTTAGATTATTTTGTATTATCTGCCAAATATATGTTTCCAATTCTTTCCACTCCGTTTGTATTTGTGATTTTACTTCAAGTTAAATATACGTTTATAATGACACAGGAGACCTGATGAAAGGCCAATAACACTGCCATTGCTAATTGGCCACAAGAAGGGAGCTTAGTAATATTAACATTTAAAGATGTCGTAACTAAAATCCCTAATCCTCCCTTTGCCCTTCCATGTTGGGAGGGCCTTGCTGCCAAATCAAAAACCTTATATCCATTCAAAGAAGGGGTCTCTAACCATGTTTCTTGTACCAATATCACATCATATTTACTTAATTTTTGTATATTACCTTCTCTAATCCTACCCGCCCATCCCATGACATTCCAAGACAGGAAGGCTAAGATTTGTGACTTGGATCCCCAACTTCCAATGGCTTTTTCATACAGTCAATTATTAGAAACAATCTTATTCAGTTGTCCAGTGGCATCTTGGTATATACAGCCATTTTTTGTCTGCTTTGTATTCCTAGCTCCAACATTTGTTCTTTCATTCTGTATTTTTCTGTATGGTGAATGCTTCCTCCATATGTTCTGACTCAATAGTCATATCTGTAGATGTTAAAAGAGTCAATTTGGGAGCAGAATCCTGTATATCAGAGTCAATCTTTGTGATTAGCTTTCCATCTAAAATGGATGTAGTGCAGAAAACGAAATACCTAGGAATTTGGATTTCAGGTAACACTTCGACGTTATATGAAAGTAACTACGTACAACTTCTAAATGATATTTAAAAAGATTTAAATCATTGGGAGAAAAATATCTTTCGTTACTGGGCAGAATAGCGACAATAAAAATGAACATTCTTCCAAGATACCTGTTTTTGATGCAAAACTTACCAATACTTAAAAATTACAATTTTTTTAAGGATCTAGAGAAAACTGTAAGTAAATTTATATGGCAGTCTA